CAAGTAGCTTCTTTAGATAAATAAATCTACATTTCCCAATTTTTTTCTTCAACAAATCAAGGAAACCAGAGGACAAAACAAAAACCCCACAAGTCAGTCTAAGTACTAAAAAGGCTGTAGGATATATATATACAAACAAGTTAACCTAACATATTTGCAGCATGTAAACTAGACACATAATATACAAACTGGGCATTTATATATTTCCTACAAAATAAAAATCAACGTTGGTCCAAGTTCTTGGAAGAAAACTATATTCTTTTAAAGAAAATGAAAATATTTTGCAAGAAAAACGAACTTAATTTAAGTCAAATTATATACTCTAGTTATGGCATTAGTTGCATGGTAAAAAATTCCCTCGGGGCACAAGAAAGCTGCTCATCTGTGCTCTTTTTAAAGCTTTGGTTTAAGTTAACTATTCTGGAACTTCTAGACCAAGAGTGCTCCTCCCGTCTGTTTTTGTACTTTCCAAAATTCTGAACTTGAAAACATGCACTTCCTTGGTTTGGAAATAAGGCTTATTTTTATTCAAATTCTTACCTACTTTGGTCTTTCCTTTGGAACTCTATTAAAAGGGACCCTGTGGATCTTTTAAAAAATGTGTTCATCTTTTGTTCCCCGCAAGTGAGAAATGAAGGAATCCCTGTTTTTTTCCATCAATGCAAATATAAAATCAACGTATCAGAGAGAAAAAGGAAAGATCTCCAATAAATAATTATATTATGGCACGAAAGTGAGAAGTATTTCATTCCTGTTGAAGAACTCTGCTGCAGTAAAACACGTTAAACATTTCTTTCCATACTTCCTAGAAAAGGGGGGGGGGAATGTTTATAACTGCTGTTAATTTGACCTACAGCACACCATTTCAGACTTTGTCATGTGGAGATTTTTGCTTTGCTGATTCTGTACCAAAATCAAAGAAGTCCAAGCAAGCTTGCTCACTTTTCTTTTTTTCCCTTTTTTTTTTTTTTGAAGATAAACTAGAGAAGCAAGCAACACAATCCAATTCTGCTGCCGGCGGAAAAACAGTGGAATGACAACAGCTCCATTCTGGTGGGGACAGACTGGTCTTGCAAGAAATAAAATGTTCAGCATTTACACAAAGATACAGAGCCACAGGGAACAACGGGGGGGGGGGGGGCCACCTGAAACATTTTTTTAAAAGTGAAATTAAACATTACTCTGGTCTAAAAGACGACAGTTGAAAACAGTAGTGTATGTACATGTTTTAGATATAGTGCTACCTACAGAGAATTAAGGCAGGGACCTGAATGGACATGTTTGCCGCTAAAAATAATCAAGTTCTTGGACAAGAGGGTGCAGATGAAATCATCTTCGGTTTCCATCTTTAGATCCCCTAGCCAAGACTTTTTGTGTGCAGGAAATAGGTTTTAATCCCCTTTTGTTTTGGATGGGTTAGGTCCCGATCCAGAGAACCAGCCAAAAGTTTGTGTGCACCGTGATGGTGAAGGCACAGAGAAAAACGTGTGCTGCACAAGGAATTCTTACAGGGTGAGGCATGCATTACCACTAGTTGCAAGATGTGCTGATCTCTGCACTCTGAAGCCGCTGTACGGCAGGCACAGTGGGCGGGGTAGAGGAAGCTCGGGTTCATGGCACCAGAGCAGCAGCCAGGGCCCAAACTATTTCCCCACACATGTCCAGAAGCGATCCCTGAACCACAGCATTCCCCTCTCACCACAGTGAGTGCAGGTACATTCTCCCTCACCCTTTCATATCGTGCTTTGAAACTGACAAAAATGGAGTCCTGATCTTTTGTTCTTTCATGAAGGAACTTGACACCTCTCTACCACTCCTTAGTTTCCCCCCCCCCATATAATTCCAAGAGAGTGAGAACACCAGCATTTCAGTCACTTGGTTCTTCTCCCCCGACAGGAAGAAAACGGGAGCATTCAATTTTCATTTGGCCTTCTGTGTTTTCCTAAAGCGACTGGAGAACTATCGATTTACACAGATGAGAAATCTGGCCCAACATATCTAGCAGCAGGAAACACCACACAGAGTCTTATTTGTGGAAGATACCAATACAAAATTAAGGCTGAAAGGATCCGTTCACCCTTAAGAAGATGGCAAAGAGATGCGACGAAAGAACAATTTTCCTCTGTGCCTCCCAATGTACAGTAGACGGCTTGCTATATTAAGAACAGAGAGAAACCCAGACAGACCTGACCTTCCTATACGGAAGACACATATTGCCCCAGAGTTCTGAGGTTTTGGTAAAAGATCAGGCAAAATAGGAAAATGTGCATTTTATGTACATTTTCTAGGAAACATGCCAGTGTGTTCACAAGTTACAAGATTGAACAGGCCAAGAGCAGAGAACAGGAGGCTGAATTTGGCAAAAAACGGCATGCCAGGCTGATGAACCAGTGGAAAGGGGACACACTTTTAGCAAATTTAACCATCCACCCGTCTGACTCTGCTTTCCAGGGCTACCCCACTCCTTCTGTTACAAAATGGCACCAAATGAGCTTCTCTCTTGCCAGATGCTGGAGACAGTTTTTTGATGACTTGAAGGTGCAACTGCTGAAAGTCCACTAGAAAATGGCTCTGTGCTTGTGAAGAGGCACCTTGTTTTCCTAATGTTATGAAATCGTACGATCAGAGCAGCTGTGCAAAAAAGTGCAATGGAGTTCAGTGTTATTAATTCAGCTTCAAGCCAAAGGCTTCTTAGGGGCTAGGCTGGGGGCACGTCAGGATCCCCTACAGAACCAGCTCAAAAATACCTTTGGGGGGGAAAGCATGCATGCAACTCAAACCACAACACAAATCTGCTGCTCATTAAGGGTAAAACGATATGGGTTGGATCCAACTGGCTTTTCTTGCTGGTGAAAATAGGAAAGAGCAGTCCTCTCTGGTCACTCAAAAAGACTATGCTGGGAATCACATGGACAAAAGTCACATGGGCTGGGAGGGTTGAAATATGAAAGGGAATTGAGTGACAGTGAGTGAAAAATCTGGATCCAACCCTATAAACGTAGCACAACAGCAAAAGAAGGGGAGGTTTACATATGCAGAAGGGTTTCTAAAGTGATTAGTTGGAAAGGGATGAAAAGATGAAATCATGTTAAGTGTCAGGTGGGTATCCGTATCAGTTTGCAACAGTAGAATAAAATTCAAGTCCAGCAGCTCCTTAAAGACCAACAGCATTTCCCACGGGGTAAGCTTTTGTGAGTCACAGCTTTCTTCAACCTTCTGTCCAGGTTAGATGGTGTGAAAGGCCAGGAAGGGCCAGTTGGAGTCAAGACGGAGAGGTACAATGGAAAAGACTGCTGAAGTAGAGCTTAGCAAGTTCAGGACAACAGACACACACACACACACACACCCCAGCTGAATAGGGATTTAGGTTTCTTATCTCCTAACATACGTACATATGTGCCATCATGGTGACCCAACAAGGGGCTTCCAAAGCAAGTGAGAAGCAGAGGTGGTTTGCCATTGCCTTCTTCTGCACAGCCTACCTTGGTGATCTCCCATCAAAGTACTAACCCTATTTAGCTTCTTATCTCATTGCAGGAATCGCAGAATCATAGAGTTGGGAGGGATCTCCAGTGTTATCTAGTCCAACTCCCAGCACAATGCAGGAAATTCACAAATACCTCCCCCCAACACACACACAGTGACCCCTGGTCCATGCCGAGAAGATGACAACTCCCCCCACCCAAGGATCCCTGGCTAAACTGGCCTGGAGAAAAATTGCTTCCTGACCCGAAAGTGGGTTTCAGCATTTCCCTGGGCTTGTAAGAAAGGGCCACGAGAACGAAGCACTGATGCAACGCTTCCTGCCCTCCCTATTCGTGATCTGCCTAAGTTCACAGAATCAGCATTGCTCGCAGATGGCCATCTAGCCTGTTTGAAAACCTCAAAATGAGAGCCCACAACCTCCCGAGGAAGCCCGTTCCACTAAGGAGCCGCTCTGTCAGGAAGTTCTTCCTAATGTTTAGCTGAAAACTCTTTTGATTTAATTTCAACTCAGTCTTTTGAGGAGCTAATTTTCTGCACTTCCCACCTCTACGCAAATCCCCCAGCTCTAATCAAGCTGATTAAGTTTTGCATTGCATCGCTACATCCTGGTTCCAGCTGGCCCTGGTTTTGCAACAGCCCTCCCAACTTCCAACCTGGACAGAAGGGCTGATAGAACTACATTCTCTTGGCTTCTGACAAAGCAGAGCTTATGCCCTGGAGAATTCGGTTGGTCTATTGGACTTGAGTTTTGTTCTACTTAAGTGCCGTGCCAAAAATATCAGACTATGACAATTGTGTGGGGAACAAGTGGCCAATCACCTACTGCTGTGGAGGGCGCAGTGACGGCCAGACAGCTGCCACTACAAACAGCACCAGGCAAAGCTGCAACGGACTATCTTACCTTGAGACACCCTTCCTTTGCCGCCTATTAAGTACCAGTGTGGCAAACAGCAACTGAGCATCACACTGCAACATCTCAGCTCCCAGGCAGGGCTTGGAAAAATTCCCGTACCCTTAATCTGTGCTGTTATGAGCAAATGCACCCATCGCTACAGCCAGTTTAAAGCATTGGTAAATCACCAGTGATGCCCTACGTGGCTTGGCAGCTTTGGTCATCTGCCACCCCCACCATGACACCAGAACTTCTGCTCTCTTCCTCAGCGTGTGTATTGGGGGTGGGGGGTGGGGATCCCATGCATCCTAGAATTCCTCTGACATAACTCTTGTATGTAGGAAGCCTGAAAAGAGACACTTCACAGCCTTTTCTGTACCATGCTTCCTATACAAAAAGTATTCCACATCTCTCTTGCCGGAAAGGCACGGGAGCACAGGGAAATAAAACCATGTAGGCAGATAGTACAGAATATCTTCCCTTCTTTTAAAACCATGTTTGCATCAGAAAGCCGTTATGAACAGAGTGACATGTCTTCCAGCGAGAGCCTCTGGGCCTCCCCAACAGCAAGGATAGATTTTTAATGCCTCAGAGCAATCTGCAAAACAACTCCTGCCCCTGCACTCGTCTTGTCTTTCCTGCAGCACTGCTAGAAGGTGTAAAGATGCTTTTGTGGGGGACACACACTACCAATGTCTCAAGGTCAAGGGGGCCCCTTTTTTGTACCGCAGCATTCAAAAATGTTTTACATTCACATCTGAGCGGTGCATCTTTCACTTTTCAAGTACCCAGAGTCTGAAGAGGAATTGTTTAGGCAAATGGAACAGAAGACACATCCCCAGGCCTGCACGCATGCAGTGGCCTCAGGCAGGCCCTCTCCTCTTCTCAGTCTTCGAGGCAATAAATAATTGGTCTGCTTTGTCTTTTTTAAAAAAATAAAAGGAGAAGAAAAAGTTGTCTGTCTGTGGAGCTCCTCCCCTACAGCTGCATCCCGATGCGCAGGGCTCTCAGAGTTCCGTGATGTGCATCGGGTACCCAGGAGGAGGCGGGGGAGGCGGCACTTTCAGGCCGAGGCGCCTGATGTGGCAGGTGTGGCACAGCAGGTGTCCCTCCAAAGGATAGCATCGGCGGCCTTCTTCGTCGTTGAGCTGCAGCCCACAAACCTAAGAAAAACAAGATAGAATCATAGAATCACAGAGTTGGAAGGGGCCATACAGGCCATCTAGTGCAACCTCCTGACAAGGGTTTGTCCAGCCGCTCCTTAAAGACTGCCAATGAGGGGGAGCTCACCACCTCCCTAGGCAGCTGACTCCACTGTTGCACAACTCTTGCTGTAAAAAAGTTTTTCCTAATATCCAGCCACTACCTTCCCACCCTTAATTTTTACCCATTATTGCGAGTACTGTCCTCTGTAGCCAACAGGAACAGCTCCCTGCGCTCCTCCAAGTGACAGCCCTTCAAATACTTAAAGAGAACAATCCTGTCCCCCCTCAACTCTTCTCCAGACTGAACATCCCCAAGGCCCTCACCCTTTCCTTGTAGGGCTTGGTCACCAGGCCCCCGATCATCTTCGTCGCTCTCCTCTTCACCCGCCATATTCTGTCCACATCCTTTTTGAAGTGAGGGCTCCAGAACGGCACACAATACTCCAGGTATGGCCTGACCAATGCAGTGCACAGCAGGGTTTGCGATCCCACAAACACACACACCTTAGCTGTAGCTGGGACTGGGTTCAAATCCTCACTGTACCATGAAGCCTGCTGTGTGACAGTCACTATTTCTTAGCCTTAACCTACCTTGCAAGATTGTTTTGAGGATAAATAGAAGGGAAGGAACCAGGCGTGGTGGCCTGAGCTCCTTGCAGGACAAAACATGAGAAGCGCAGGGGCAGCTAGTATGAGCCACTTTGAACACTCCGTTGTGGCAGAAAGGCGGCATATAGTTCCAAAAGCAAAGAATGTGATTCCTCGAGTGACCCTTCACCATGCATATGTTCCAAGAGGCAACTCTTTGATTGCCATGGCCAAAGGTGACGAGTGGGCTGACCCTTCTCGGGCCCATAGATGCTTTTGGTCTCCTTCACCGTGGGAGAAGCCAAGGCTAAGACCACAGCACTGCCTGTGGTTCAACCCTGGGGAAAGGTCATCCTGAGTCAGCAAGAGAAGGCAGTGACTTCCTGGGCACAGGAATGCTGCTAAGAAGCTCTAAAGCTTACCTCGCAGTGATAACATTCGACATGGTAATCTCTGTCCATCGACACCACCCGGATGGTCTCTTCAGAACCCTGGTTTGGGGTAGAGAGCAAGTGAGGTTGGAAGATTTGGCAATGGTATGTCTTTTCTCCCCCCACCTCAGCCTGAACCGATGGAGCCCTGTTTTGCACAATCTTTTGCACATTCTATGCTTCCGGGAGATCTTGGGAGACTGGTTCCAGGGGATGCATCATCACCTCTTTCATTCCATTCTTTTGCCAAAAGGGTGAGTAACCGTACTTGCCAGAAGCAGGGCACAAAGGGGGAAATGACCTTTCAGAAAAGCCCATTCTGTAGACTTGAAGAACACACTCTAGCCCCAAGCACAGCACACCGCCTTTCCGCACATTCAATCAATGCACAGAGAGGGAAAGCAGGTATGAGCATGCTGGTGCTGCCCCACCAACTCTCCCCAAATTGCCAGCTCATCAACACTGTGTCTGTGCATGAAGAATGATGCACATGTACCTTCCCCTCCATGATCAGGAACACTGCTTTCCAAATGTCCCTAATCACACAGATGATCACACACTATCTCCATGTGCTGCTGGCTATGTGCAATGAACCAGAGACTGTGCAGAGGTGGGGCTGGCACATTTTTGACCTTGCTCCTCACATAGGCTGAACACGTGGAGGGGTTGTGTGCTTAGGGCTACACATATTGTTGCCAGCCTCCACTCACAGAGCATTTTGTCTCTCAAAACCACAAAGATCAGTTTAGATGTCTTTGCTGCAGACTCAAAACGCCCATTGGCTATGAAGGAATTACTTCGTCAGGAACACAGGTGGATCTTTAAATTAAACACCTTGATCCCTAATGGTTTAAATACTGATTTTGATTTAAGTTGTTTCTTATAAAATTCTGTAAATAAGTAGGTTATCTCAGTTCAGTTTTCCTTCCTTTGGTTTACCCGCCAGTTTATTAGAAACTTCATTCTTAGAAATATAAAAATATAAAATAGGATATTATGTACTGATGTAAGTTGTATCAGAATATTGTGACTCCAGATTGTCAGTACATACTTAATGGCATATGTTGTGTGTTAATCACCAACACTATTGCAGAAGCCTAATTGGCAGAAAGAGAACTTATCAGAGGAGCAAATGGAAAACTAGTGAAGGAGAATTGTTGAAACTCTATTTCAGTGAGTATGTATGTGCTGACAACTGGGGATATAGTGAATATGCTGTAATATAGTAAATATGACATGGAAACATAATTTTCAGTTCACAGCTAAAGAGTACCAGCTATCTTAAGAAGCGAAATGTGAACACGGCAGTGAAGCCAGCCGTGTACAGCTGTACTCACATAAGACGTGGAACTATTGTACTCCTGAAGTTTTTTATACAAAGGAATTGTGGACTCTAATTGTATTCTCCCTTTGTATTAAGTACTTTTGGATCCTAGCTCTAATATATATATATATATATGGGTTCTTTAAAAAAAAGACTCAATTGTTTGAATTGTATCATACAAGTTTTCTGCTTTTGTTTGTAATTCATTCACGGAGTGTCTTCATATTTATACAGTCTCCAGGGGGTGGCTGGAGATCTCCTGGTGACAGAGATCAGTTCACCTGGAGACAATGGCCGCTTTGGAAGGGGGACTCTATGGCATTGTACCCCACTGAGGTCCCTCCCCAAACTTTGCCTTCCTCAGGCTCCAACCTCAAAATTTCCAGGTATTTCCCAACCCAGAGCTGGTAACCCTAACTACATGCCATTTGGGGGGGGGGGTTGTGTGCAGTTCAAATATTCCCACTGACCCAGCATTGTTCTAATTATGAGGCCTTGTGCCAGAGACCTTTCCAAGAGACTGGGTGCAACAGCTGAGAATATGCCCAGGGACAGCATAAACACACATGGGACACTTTCACCCACACTAAATAATGCACTTTCAATGCACTTTTGCAACGGCATCTTACTTTGTGAAATGGCAAAATCTACTTGCAAACGGTCACTGAAGTGGATTGAAACTGCTTTATTCAGCATGTGTGAAAGCGCCATTATCCTTCTGCTGCAAGTGACCACATGCTACCTGTTGGTGGAGCCTTGGTTGTGCAACTGCAAGCAATTGGCACCGACAGCTTGTTTCCCTGCTGCACGGTGGGTCCTGTCCCATCCTGCCCTGCTGGCTCCGTTACGAGCAGCACGACTGCAGAGGAGTCAAACTACAAAGATCAGCAGAGGCCAGGGAACTCTGGGGCACTAAACTCTTCTGCTGAGAAAGACTTGGCAACAGAACCACTGGCACTGCCCACCCAAAAAAACCCCCAGTTCATTCTTCTAGTCCACACAACCACATTTAAACAAACACACAGTGGACAACGTTTTGCAACCCAGTTTTAGTTTGGAGACATGGATTTGGGAGATTTTTTTTTTTTTTGCTCAATTGGAACCAGTTCAGTATCGTTACAGAGGAAGGTGGCTAATGCCTGCTTGTGGGGCCAACGTTTCATTAACGCCCTGTTCAAAACTCTGGTGGGAACTGAGAAGAACATGCAATTACGTCTGACTGTTGCAAAGGACGCAGGGTGGGCACTCCAGCCCACAGACTCACTGATGCGCAGAGAGGTCCTAAAGTGACTCCTCAGAGTGGACCAGTATAAAAAGGTATAGGTATAAAAATCTGGACATCGGTCCTCAAGGCGACTTGCTTGTGGAGAATCTGTCAACTGGATGTGGGTGGTTCATACAGTGGTCAATCAACCTATTGCCCGTGAGACATTTCTTCACAGGCAAGCAGATGCAAGGCAACAGTCCAAAAACAACCATGTCACATGGACCCAAAACTTTACACTGATGTTTCCAACTACACGGTATATAGTAAATTCCTGAATACCCCGGCTTTCATTTTTTAAAAAAACAGCAGGCTTCTAGTCCTCCTCGTGGCTGCTGCTATCAGACTGGAAGGCAGCAAATGAAATTAATGGTCTCCTAGTGATGTGATTTTTCTTCTTTGCGGGGCCCTATTTCTTTGCAGTCCTGCTTTCCCCCACCGTGGCCATGTGAGCCCCCTCCTTCCTTTCCCTTTATGGCACAGCATAACTGCCTCAAACAACCTGTTATCACTCCTGCGGGTGATGCACAGAGCTCAAGCCTAACCAAATTAACACACACCCAGACATTGCCAGGTTTATTCAGATTTCATAGGATCAGGGCAACATAATTTTGTTGCTTCACAGAGCTTCACAGAAGTAGTACACATGGCAGCACTTACAGAACAAACCTTGGGACACTGACTCAGAACTCAATGGATTTGGTAGGTCATATGTTGGATCGCAGCCTTAAATGTATTTTGGCTGCAAGCAACTTGCTGCTTACTCCTATGTATTCCTGAAACAACACCTACAGAATCTGCTCTCTCTCTCTCTCTCTCTCTCTGTATATAAGTGTGTTTGTGTGTTACTCTGGAATAAGGGCTCAGGAATACATGAGCATCTTCTCTGAATTATGAACGGAACAAAGGCCTTGGAGTACCATACCTGTGCTGGTAATATTGGCTGGTTACAGGAAGCACACTTCGGCGCAAAAACCCTAGGATGAAAAAAGAGAAATAGGACACCTTTTGTTAAGGGAGACTTTTGTCATAAGCCAGCACTTTAATAACAGCTAATTTTTAAAAACTGTAATACAGGAGATGGCCTGAAGGTAGCCAGTGTGACATCTCCCAACATCTTTTTTTTTGTGTGCCCCCCGAAGGGGATTTTTTATTTGCATTTTCTATCAACTACAAAAACTACAACTGAAATTTGGAAAGGGGAGGGATACTAAAACCCTAACACTCTAACTATGGGAAATGGGAAAAGGACAAACTAATACATAAAAACTACTTGATGGGGGAAGGAAACTACTATTCTAAACTGTTTCATCTATTGGATTTGGGGAAGGGAAAGGTAATACATGTCACGATCGAGTTAGCTAAGGTAAGGCTTATTAACCTATTATTACAAGTTTAGTATACAAGTTGGTTCATTGCAATATTGCTTAACATGCTTAGCACAAATTCTGACATCTCCCAACATCTTGTTTAGAAGGCATCCTTTCCCTTATGAATAAATCCCACATAAATTAGCCTCAGGACAAGAGAAGAAGAGATTGGATTTATACCCCGCCCTTCACTACCCAAAGGTGTCCCAGAGCGACTTACAAACTCCTTTCCCTTCCCCTCCCCACAAGAGACACCCTGTGAGGTAGGCGGGGCTGAGAGAGCTCTTGACAGAAACTGCTTTTTTAAGGACAGCTGTGCCAGAGCTTGGAACTGACCCAAGGTCACATCAGCAGGTGCAAGTGGAGGAGTGGGGAATCAAACCTGGTTCTCCCAGATTAGAGTCCGCGCACTTAACCCAGTGTTCCCTCTAAGATGAGTCAGTGTGAGCTAGCTCACAGTTTTTTCACCTCTGGCTCACACAATTTTGTCTTAGCTCAGGAAAGATGGTTGTAAAGCAAACTAATTTATGCAGAAGCCAATGCTCACAACTTTAATGCCAGTAGCTCACAAAATAGAATATCTGCTCACAAGACTCCACAGCTTAGAGGAAACATTGTCAACCACTACACCAAACTGGCTCCCAGAGAAACCAAGCAATGTTTCTCAGCCTTTAGAGGTGGGGCTGCCATTCTAAATGCCAAAGAAGTACTGAAGGCCCAGCGGATCAAGCGCTGCCCCTGGAAGCCTGAGCTCAGCCCCAGACTCAACCACACCCACCACTTGCCTACCTCACTGCCCCCCAGAACACAGACCTCCATGACCCATCAGGCTGAATATTGTCTGCCAGTCATCATACAGAATAACCTATCAGAAGCCTGATAAGCCCCTTTTACTGGGGAGGCAGAACAAGCAAGAGACTGGTTTGAGCCCTCTTTAGGACAGCATAACAACGGATCGTGTTTTGCTCAGAGACACCCCTGAGAAATGATCTGGGAGCTCCATACTTCTCAGGTATGCAGGGACCAAATTTGGATAAGGACCACAGCACGCAGGGAGAAGAGGCTCAGGCCTCCTCACTCCACACTGTGTCCCTGACCCAGAGCAGCCCCAAGAAGCCTTTATTTACTTCGCTGGGGAAACTGAGATTTAGCTGTATCCAGGAGTCATTTCCTGCAGGAGCGCATAGGAGCGGAGAGCTCCGGCCGTAAAGAGCCCAGGGGGCGGGCACATGCAACAAGCCCCACCCCCTGCTCCCAGCAGCCCTCAGTCAGAGCAAGAAGCAGCCAGGTAAGTTACAGAGCCCCCCTCCGGCCCCCTGGTCCAAAACAGTCCAGTGGCACCTTTGAGACCAAGTTTTATTCAGGTACAATCTCTCCCTCCTCTGTGAGGACAGATCTGCACGTTCCCCCCCACCAATAGCTAGCAATCCAAAACAGTCCCGTGGACCTTGAGCGGTGGGTGTTGCCTTCTGACACACTTCCGGTGATGTCGGGGGGGTGGCATATGCAAATAAGTTATGCTAATGAGCTCCTGCACCTCTTTTTCTACGAAATGACCCCTGGCCGTATCCAACACATGTGCACCCTGCAGTCGGGCAAACAGGGGCTTGCTGGATACATCAGTTGTGATAGGCCCCTTGTATAGTTTTGGAGTAGCATATAAGAGCATCTCCTGAGAGCCTCAGAAGTATATAGTTTCAGATACATGAAGAATACTGTAGATGGTTCTAAGCCAGTCTGGGTCTTGTCACTGGTGTGATGGAGGACCAGCTGGGAACCTCATCTACACCGCCTTGAATTCCACAATGGAAGAAAGGTAGGGTAGAGACATGTTGGGTAAGTGAATACTGGTGCCCCATTCTAGTCATAATTAAACCACCTAAAGAATGGATACTACCTTGCTCTTAAGTGTGGCCTGACAAGAACAAACCAGCCCCTCCTCGACTCACACAGAAAAAATGTTTTTCTCTCTCCTCCCCCAATGCAAGACAAAAATGCTTCGCATACTCACGTGTGATAGTCTTTGACACAGTAAATATTATTCTCCACATCTACAGTAAAAGGAACACCATCCAGACATTCGTTGCACACCACACAGCGGAAACAGCCCGGATGGTATGACTTCCCAAGAGCCTGCAGGATCTGAAAACAGAGCCAGACAATCATAGGATCCATGGGATGTTTTTTCTCCCTCATGAGTACTATTCCTTACATAGTCAGTAATTTTTAAAATGGAAACTTGTAAGATACTGGGGGGGGGATTGTTAAATGGATGGATCTCAGCCTGTGGGTGGGGACCTAAAGCTGCACTGCCACCCCCTCACTGGTGGGCTGCAAGGCCCAGAGGAACAGCGTCAGCTGGGAGAGGAAGACGATTTGTCATTCAGCCTCTCAGGCTACTGCTGTGTCTGTCTTCTGAGTGCAGTTAGTACACAAAATCCTCCCACAATCCTTTTCAGCAAGGAAAAATGGAAGAAGATTAGGATGCTCTAGATCCTGAACATTTATGTGGGGGAGGGGGGAGAGAAGCAGTTTCTCTGAAATCTCATAAGGGCCTGCACTGCCCTCCTTCCTTTGGGAAAAACCAGCTTACAATGGATTTGTCAGAGACTTTCAAAATCCAGACAGAAGCAGGCTTACAGTGCCAACGTAAGCAGAGTTATGTCTATGAAAGTCGATGGGCTTACTAGGGTGTAACCCTGCTTAGGGTCAGCACTGTTAAACCTGCCCACCCACATCCTCCTCTCTGCTGTTCCTTTGTTTGTCATGAGCACCGGTCACACGGGCCAGATAACGCGGGAAGGAGGCATGGCTATTAGCGCCGTCGCAATTTGAGCCACTGCAACGCGATATACACGACGGTGGCAAACCGCATTGTTTTCGTCGGTGTGTGTTTCTTGCAGCGCTTCAACGGGGCAAAAGGAGAGCGCTGGGGCGATCAGACGGAGACAGTCTGTCTGCGGCCCATGGCAAACTGTTTGCTAGTAGCTCATGGGTGGTACTTTTTAACTCCGGATTTTCGGTGGTAAGCTATGGACAGGCAGGCGACGCTTCCCAGATGTTTCTGTATGATCGCGCCTGTTTAATCTGCCCGGCAGTCGTGCCTCTCCCGAGGCAAATTTTCCGTGTGACCGGGACCATGAAAACCTTTCTACATCACTGTTGGTACCAAAGAGCAGCTGCTTTCAGACAAGAAATACATTAACAGGTAAAAGAAAATCCTCTCCAGGACCATTTTGCATGGCAGTAAAGAGAGAATGTTTCATCAGACAGCATCTACTGGACAAAACAGTTCCAGTGTGCCTCAGAACTCACTTATAGCACTTTTCAGATTAACAGCCGTCCAACCAAAAAAGCCCTGTTTTATATCTTGTGAAAGAACTGGGATTTCAGGGAGGAAATTAGAAGGTGAAGGGGAATGCACCGCAACAGAGAGCAACGTTATGCAGGTCAGCATGCACAAAAGAATTCAGCCCCCGTATATTCTACACCGTAGGAGCCCCACTGTCTTACCATTTCCATTATAAGGTGTCCACAAATGAAGCACTTGTCTGCCGTTTGTTGAAAACCTGAATACTGTTCAGGAAGAAAAAAAAGGACGGAGGTTAGCCACACATATTTATCTCTTGCTATCTCCTCAAGAGTTGTGTGTTGGCATTCAAATGTTGCTTCCCCCTCAGAATTAGCCTGTGTGGTGTAGTGGTTAAAATGTCAAATTAGGATCTAGGAAACCCAGGTTCGAATCCACACTCTACCATGGAAGCTTGCTGGGTGGGCCACTCACATCCTCTCAGCCTAACCTACCTCAAAGGGTTGTTGTGAGGATAAAACAGAGGAGAGAAGAATGAGGTAAACTGCTTTGGGTTCCCCCACTGGGGAGAAAGGTAGGATATAAATAAACAATTCAGCTATTTATATCCCTCTTACAGCATTCTCCCTTCCTCCATTTATCTTCACAACAGCCCTGCAGGTTAAGCTGAGAGGGACTTGGCCACCCCAAGATCAATCTGCGCGCTTCAATGGCAGTGAGGGGATTTGAACCCAGGTCTCCCAGATCCGAGTCTAACCATTATGCAGTGATGTCTGTCAAAGAAACTCAGTTCCATCTGCTACATCTGGCATATTGCCCGCTTTAATTTCGTGCAGCCAACACAGTAGTTAGAAAGAGCCCCAGCATTCCAAGAGTGGCCCGTTAGATCAGAAGTGTTGAACTCATTTGTTAACGAGGGCCGGATCTGACATAAATGTCACTTTGTGGGGTCAGACCATATTGCCAGGTACCAGAGACATACATTTTATTTATTTATCTACCTATTCATTTATTAAATTTATTAGGCCGCCCTTCCCTGCAAGCAGGGCTCAGGGCAGCTTACAACAGAGCAAGTACAATCAATAATTCAAGTTAAAACCAACATTAAAATACCTATAACATATCAGCAAATCAAACAATATACTTCCCAAGATGGCAGAAGAGAGATTTTCTACAGGCCACCGGGGGGGGGGGGGGGTGTGTGTTGCGGAGGGTGGGGTGTGTGAGAGAGAGTGCCAGATTTTATACTGTCCCATCGCTGTCCTCAGCCAAATGCCTGGTGGAACATCTCTGCCTTGCACGCCCTGTGGAAGTGTAGTAAATCCCGCAGGGCATGGATATTCCCCAGCAGATAGTTCCACCAGGCGGGAGAAAAAGCCCTGGCTCTAGTTGAGTTCAGCCATATCTCTCTCGGGCTGGGGATCACCAGGAAGTTCTCATTCCCAGAATGTAAGGTCACAGGAAGACTCAATTAACAATATTATTTTTTACTCAAAATAAAAACATGCTTATAACACTAACACTCTTACAGGATTTCCTTCCGGTATCTCCCTGATGCCTACCCTCCTGGCTTTCACCGCCCGTTACATGTCAGCACTGGGACAGGATACAGGGATATAATGTACAGCCCCTGCCATCTGGCAATACAGGTAATGACCAGTTGCTCACGGGCCGGAAAACAGCCTGTGGGCCATATGTTTAATACCCTCTGGAAAGCCCCCAAACTGGGCATAAAGGCTCCCCCTCCCCCAGTTTATTCTCAGTATCTGGTATTAAAGGGATGTGAGAAAAGGAATTAAGGCCCCGGTCACACGGGCCAGATAATGTGGGGGGAGGCATAGCTATTCACCCCGTAGCAAAATAAAGTGTGGTAACCCGATCACACGGTCCCCCAAGTCTCCATGCTTAGGCTGTTAGCTGGCAATCACACGGTGATGCTGCAGCGTGGCAAAGAAGCGGCACGGCTCGATCACACAAGCGTTTCGCGTTTGTGCGCACAAACAGTTCCGCAGAGCAGCACTGCTTTCAGTTTTGTGTTTGTGCACATGCGCTTACGGAAAAAATCCGATTTGCGACGGGATGTGGATGGGCGCCGGATGCCACGGGATACTAGCACTCCCGCAATCAGATGCCTGCCTGTGCCGCACGTTTTCCGGATACTAGTGCACTTTCCTTGGTACTTTTTAACTCCGCATCTTTGGCGGGACGCCATGGGTTGGCCATGGGTGCGCTACGCTTCCCAGATGTTGCGGTGTGATCACACCCCGAAAATCCGCCCGACATTCATGCCTTTCACATGGCAAAATCTCTGTGTGACTGGGGCCTAAGATCAATTTGGTATTTTTAAAACTGGGCTGTGTGTGTGTACTTAAATTGCTGGTTCCTTAACTCTGTCCTTTACTCTGAAATGTCAATGTACTAATGACTTAAGGGCATGCTATACCTCAGTTCTTCCACCTGATGCTTCCAGCCCTCCTCAGGAGACTTCCACTACAGCCTACAGGAAAATGGTGTGGGAGGAATGGCTGAAGTCCTTTCCCACATGTGAGACAGTCACAATCTGAACGGCCCCCCAAGGAACTGAAGAGAACCCCTCAACACATGTCTGCCTGTGACAAATGGTACAGAACCCAGACCTGACCTGTGACCTGTGTAATATAAAACAGCACTTGTATCACCTATCAAAAATGAGAATTAAGCCAAAACTACCGTCCCTTTTCCGGCAGCAACAGAAAAGGCTTCCTTTGTGATATGCTGGCACTGCTTGCCAATGAGTTGATATCACCCAACTAAATCTGAAGCTGGCTAAAGATAACAGCTTGTGTTTCTTTCAGGCAACGCTATCAGCCATCCTCCCAAGACAGGCATCCATTTGTAAGCAGCCTGTCATGGAGATGCCTCGAGCCCCAAAACAGACTAGCCTGCCACTACCTTTGCAGTAGTCCAGCCAGCTAATGTTTAAACGCTTATTTGTTGTAAGCTGGACTTTACCTCACATTGTTTCGGTCCAACATCAACAGGGTGCCACACGCCTTCCCCTGTCCTGCCCAGCTGGAGGCACGCTCAGCTGCTGATAGGGGATAGCCTTGATAATTTGAACGATTTGGGCTACTGCGGAGATAAAGAACTTTTCAAAGAGGGCATGCATAGGTGACTTGGGACAAAGCACGAGAGGGAACTGTCAGGCTGTCACCCGTTGGACAACACCAGAGAAAGACAGTGATGCATGGGGTGGGGGATCTTTGTCACCGAGAATTTGTCTCTGGGTCCATTTTCTTTTAGGCCAAAGGAAAGCCCTAAATTTTGAGTAGGCTGAGAGTCAGTAACACTGGGTTTATTTTGACAAAGTTTACAAGCCTTTTCGTTTAGATAAGTTGCTCACTCGTCCCAAGGTATTTTTCCCCTCTGCCACTAAGTTATGGATCCTCTCCATCTTAGCTTACCAGTTTTGGGTTGGGAAATGACTGGTGATTTGGTGGTTGAGCCTCGAGAAGCCGCGGGTATATGGCATAGAGTTCATGCTCCAAAGTGGCTGTTTTCTCCAGGGGAACTGATCTCTGTAGTCTGGAGATCAGCTGTAATTATGGGGAAACTATAGGCCCCATTTGGAGGCTGGCAAGTGCGGTGGCTCTAGTGGTTAAGATGCTGAACTGCAGGCTGTGGAAGGTCAGTAGTTCAGCAGTTCGAGACCCGAGTGTGCCGCATGACAGAGCGAGCTCCCGTCTCTAGTTTCAGCTCCTGCCAACCTAGCAGTTCAAAAGCAAGAAATTCAGTGGGAAGGTAACAGCGTTCTGTACGCCTTGGTGTTTAGTCATGCCAGCCACATGGCCACGGAAATGTCTTCAGACAGCGCTGGCTCTTCGGCTTTGAAATGGAGATGAGCACCGCAACCCTAGAGTCGGATTCGAATGGCTTTCGAGCAAGGGAACCTTTACCTTTACTTTACCTTATCTCCATCAGAGTCCTGAGAGCCAGTTGGGGCAAGTCCTAAGCTAGACAGGCCAGGGAGTTTGTGTATTCCTATGAAGCCGTTCATCTGCAGACTTTAACAATTCATATCACATATTTGACTGTGTGCAGCTTCAGATGGGTAGCTCTGTTGGTCTGCAGTATGCCAAAGAGTTTCAAAAAACTAGGTCTTCAGGAAAGATGCTCCATATAAGCGCTGTCTGTAGAAGAGCCCCAAAGGATTATGGGGTTTGCTGTGTGGAGCAGTGGACAAGGTTTCTGGGAACTGGGCATGAGTGAGAACATATCTAGGAGGAGTCCCAGATAGTCTTCCAAGAAACATCCATGAAATCCTGTTGGTCTTTAAGGTGCTAACTGGACTCAAACCCAGCTCTTTGACTGTGCATAAAATATTACCACTGAGTTGCAGCACATAACACAGTGCCTTGGAATGGATGTTTCTTGGAAGACTATCTGGGACTCCTCCTAGATATGTTCTCACTCATGCCCAGTTCCCAGAAACCTTGTCCACTGCTCCACACAGCAAACCCCATAATCCTTTGGGGCTCTTCTACAGACAGCGCTTATGTGGAGCATCTTTCCTGAAGACCTAGGGTTTTTTTTTTAACTCTTTGGCATAAGGTAGCTCTGTCCACTTTTAAGGAGAACAGCTAAAACTATCCCTGATCTGGATAGTCCAGGGTAGTGCGATCTTATCAACTAAGCGGTTCCAGCCCTGGGCAATGTCCTGATGGGAGAACACTGAGGAGGTCCAGGGTCACTATGAAGAGACAGGCCATGGCAAACCACATCCGAATGGTTCTTGCCTTCAAAACCCTACAGGGTCCCCATAAGCCCACTACAGCTTGACGGCAAAAAGAAAGAAAGAAGCTAAAACTGATTCCATCTGGGAAATAAAACGGCTCTGGTGACCATCTGGCCAGCATTTCAGAAGGTCGTGACCTCAGGGGCTGGGGTGGCAACAGGTGGGAAGGTCCTGGCAGAGCAGATGGCAAAGGATTATCAGCAGCATAAACTCAGCTAATTCTCCACCACTGTTGCAATGATTTAATTGGACCATCTGGCTGTCGTTTGATAAGGAAAGCAAAGGGCCATTTATTGATTAACAGGGGACAGGACTCCTGAAGAGGTGAATGGCCTCATGGGCAGGTTTGAGTAATTTATGGCTCTTGGAATGGCTGGAAAGAATGGTATTTATTAGGCAGAAGAGACAGGTTGACGCAGAATATCTTTTTTCTATGTGACCAATTAAACTAAACCCATATTTTGTTTTTAAACAGAATTGTATTTTGCTTTT